CCGGAGAAGCTTTCGTAGTTCACCGAACAAACAAGCAATGTCGTTGAAAATTCCGCAAACAAACAATGAAAGCTAATAATACAAACATGAAAAAAAACAAACAGCCAAAAAAATGGAAAAAAAAATAAAAATCAAAAGCACTATCAAACCCTCTCCGGAGAGGTGAGGTGAGATGTGAGGTGAGATATCCAACATGCATCATTCATTCGTGAAAAACAAATAAATGATTGAAGTCCAGTACTCCATAGCAAAACCCCGTGTAGCGGGAAGTCAAACTGAAAAAATTATCATGTACGTCGCTTCCCTTCCACTCATCCTACTGACCACAGCTCCCAAGACCCGCCAAGCATTCCACCAGATAAAATGGTGGCAGTCACCGCCAGCTACCGCCGAAGCGGTAGACTGAAGGTAACTGCCTATGCGAGTTGCTGTGAAGAGGACAATTACGACTTGCTAATACCTATTTATCTTACTCCTATATCACCTACTTCCTACTATTCTAGTAGACTAGCTGTGAACTGCCACATGCAGTCGCGTCTCCAACAAATTTGTCATTGTACCCTTGACGCTGTATTCCTTCCGCAATAAGTACCTGCCTCGGGATTTTGATTCTGACTGTAGTATTTCTGTCGATTCAGTGCAACCATCCCGTGATTCCAGCCAATTCCTGCTTCCGGCTTGTCCACGGGAGGGCGTCCTGACCAGATCTGAAAATCACATCCCCTATGGTCCACATAGTATCATCATTTTTCGTCAGCTGGACGCTACCGCGGAAGGGGAAATCCTGCCCGACCTCCATTCGACACCCCAAGAACTCCCAGACCCCCGATTTGTTGCCTGTTCGTTTGAGTGAAAGGGCCTTGGGGTAGCATTTTTCAAATTTCTTTCGAATCCGGTTTGCAGTCCCAAGCGTAGTATAGTCATCCTTTCGATATGCCAAAAAATACAGAGACATCATCCATCAATCAAACTCCTGACACTAGCTTACGAACGCAGCCCAATGACATCAGAAACCGTCACTCCGCATGCGCGCACACGATGCATGCAAATGGCGGACTCGTGCTTTTTCCAAAAATCTGCTGAAGCAGGATGTCCAATGCCTGTGTATGCATGCGACAATTCGAAATCCACGAAATGTCGAATGTCCACTAACTTAACCTTCCACCATCCATCCACATCCTTCTCCTGAAAAGTGGCACCCTTTCCTATCGGATTGACTTGCGCTGTTATCTTGTCCTCAAAGCAGTAAAGAATCCAATCCAAAGCCCGAGGAATCTCCTTATGTGGTAGCCGACTAAACATATCCTTAAAATATCATATGAGGCGGCCATTACGCCCACATCTATGTACGCACTTTGCATCAGCTTCTTGGCTGCTCTCAACCTATCCACCATTACACCTACGGAGGGTAAGTTAAAATGACAGTTCTGTGGCAAGCTATCCAGCAGCGAATTCAAAACCTTAGCCACTTTCTTACAAAGGTGATAAGTCGGTTCTGTATATGTAGGACAAATAGGCCGGAAACGTGAGAGGTCTTTGTGTTTAGGAAGAACATACGCACAGCCTGCCTTTCCGTGTCCATTCCATTTACCCAAAGTATTCAGTTCCCACTTATTGAATTCTTTGCAGGCATCCACCCACAACTTCTCTTCCCTCTTAGCTAACGCAACGTAACAGTCGCTTCGTACAAACAGATCTCTCATAGCTTCCTGATACAACTGAGGACAAATAAAAACAATTTCCCCAAATCAAAACAATTTCCCCAGAGTTACGGTCCACTGGTGAGAAAATCAGATCGGCGAATTTCCGCTTAACAGCACTAGTACCTTTGTCGGTTCGAAATCACTCGGCCTCCGAACTTTCAGCAGGCCGAAACGAAACGACGGCCGCCGATCAGATAGATCAACGCCGGGCTCAGCCTCCTGAAAGTTCGGAAGCTGGCAAGTACTTGTCGAAACCGGACGCCAAAGGTAGTAGTGGTTCAACAGCAATCACATCATCCGTGGACAGCTCATGACCGCTACATATCGAGCCATTCAGGCATAGCCTTGCTTCATCCATGCAAATTGTAGCAGTCACATCTGGTCCAGGCTTCCAACAGGCAAAGGACTCTGTCAATTCCTGTGCCGACATCTCTGCCCGGAGGTTCCGACGAGCTCTCAGTACAATCCGACCGCTGTGCATCCCTATCGGTATTCCATGCAGCACCTCCCACATCCTACATCTCACATGTCCCCCTCTCCGAAGAAGCTTTCGTAGTTCACCAAGTGTTTCTCCGAATTCGGTGTTTTTACAGTTTTTGCCGACTTTTTTGTCACTGCCCCAAATAGGGCGAAACTGAATACAGATATACCCTCATGCACATACATATCACACAAAAAAGAAGGAAAAAAAAAAGCAAACGTTCAGGGAAATATGGCAGTGACGGTGAAAATTTCACTAGGAAAGTGACACCACCACCTATTAACCATTAGTATCCATGTCGTCCCTGATTCATTTTTCGTAAAGGAGGTTGCTTGCTATTGCTAATCTTGAGTTCCGAATCAATGCTCAAAATTCAAATATTCCCTCTAATCATCATCTAATGGCGATATTCGATCCACCTGAATTTCATCGGTGCTGAAATTCTGAAATTCTCTTCAAATTCATTCAATTTGAAAATTGATGGGTTTTGCGCCTTGCTTATGTGGATTGTTAGGCAATAACAGATGGCTATGTCGATAAACGTTTCCAGGATAGATTAGTCAAATGGGTTGCGATGAATATCTCAGTGGATATCGGAACAGGACATTTTGTAAGGAGCCATAGCAATGATATCATAGCATGCCACGACTAGTATAGAGTACACGCACACACAGACAAATGCATCCTCTGTTGTCCTGTATATGTGAGGACCTTCGACATGTGCCAAATAGTCACTGCCTCCTGTGTTCGAAACCCCTAAGTGTCTGTGTTTCTTGAGTCATGACAGAAGTTCAATTGACTCCCTAGATCCAATACGAGTCCTGATAGATCGTGTATACAGCTCGAAGCAATCAATAACTGGAAATAACCTGCAATACTCAACCTGTTCCTCTTTTCACACTGCCTCTCTCTCTCTCTCTCTCTCTCTCTCTCTCTCTCTCTCTCTCTCTCTCTCTCTCTCTCTCTCTCTCTCTCTCTCTC